ATGGTCGATTCATGCGCCGCCATCGTCTCTCCCTGCAAAAACTAAAAAGACAACAGAAGGTGCCACTCAATGAGGCTCATCTACTTGTCAATTCATTTCATACATATATCAGTCGTGCTAGTACATGCTGATTCCGTATTCGACCCTGGGAGTTCCCACTCAGGTCTTCGAAGATCCTGTTGTCTGGAAAACCAGTTTCTCAGAAACTCTAAAAGATAACCAAAATCTTTTTTAATATGGCGTAATTGTAGCGCATTTTCTGACTAAAATGAGTCATCTCTCAGCTCTTATCTTACACAATTAATCTTACAACTTTTTGAACTGCTGAGTTTTGTAGAGTGAAGCAACTTGGGGCAGTTACCTAGCGAGTTTTGTAAAGCAAACATTTCTCTACAAAATGGGATCTCCTGCTTCTCTGCATGGCCAACAAAGGACATTAGTATTGATTTCAATCAAGTTCCTAATATATCAAGCAAAGCAGCTACAAGAGTGGGGTATATTGATGACATTTCTCAAGTTTATTTGAATTGACGTGCATCTTTTTCTTTCTCAAGACTCACTGACACAGGAAAATATTTCCTATACAGTACAGTAGGGAATACCAGTAGCACTGTACTCTCGGGTACGTAAGTTAGAAATTTGCATAAACCAAATCGCTCGATGAGAGAAAAAGCACTAATTCCGCTTAGAATCACTGGAAGATAGCTCATGAAACATCTTAAAACAAAGTTTTCTCAATGCTGAGGGAACCATCAAAAATAATTGAACGGGTGAAACGTGGACTATATCCATAGATAAGTTTATTCATTCCTGTTGACGCGTAGATATAGATGAATATACGTTTTCCTTTTTCGCGCTTTGTTAGCAAAAAGAGAAAGGCTGTTAAGTACAGATTTGAACAGTTCATTCCGTCTCATATGCCAGGCAATGCTAAAACGAGAACTGCTCTTTCTTTTCCCAGATCCTATGCTCTAGTGGTCTTAGGGGAAAATGTCGATAAAAAATGAGGAAAATGTAGAAGAACAAAATGCTGGAAAGCAAAAGATCGAAAGCAGATAATGAGAAGGAGGAAAGTATCGGAAGGAAAACATCGAAAAGGAAAAGATTCCTTTCTGTTGTTTAGAAATTACGGAAAGAGATATACGTATTTTTATCATTAAAACTATTATTGGTTCACGTCAAACTAGTACACTGGAGATGCGCCCAATATTCACCGTCTTTCATAAGTTATGATGAAACAAATGAAAATTTATATATGGTCAATAGCGGTGGCAATACCGTGATGAAGTGGCATGTGGGTGATCCAACTGGCACAGTAATAGTTGGTACACCTGGAGTCTTTGGAAACACGTCAACTCTATTAAACACTACAATGGCTGCCCGAATGGATCAATGGTCTAATTTATATGTTGTCGATCGATCGAATAATCGAATTCAACTCTTTTGTTCTGGTACTACAACTGGTATGACTGTGGCTAGGACTGGGACTGGTGGCTCCACCCTCAGGGGGCCATATGACGTGGCTTTCGATTCACAAATGAATTTGTATGTCACTCAAAACGCCGGTAGTGTTGTAACCAAATTCGTTAAATTGTAAACCAGACATTCTAACGCTTAATTGCTCATTTATACTCATGTACCTTTAGAAGCAGTTTTCTGTACCTCTCACTTATATTTTGAAGAAGTGTGCGTTTTCCTTCATAAGATTTTTGTTTTCTAAGACACGTTTCTCTAATGTACAGAAAACAGTAACAAATATGAAAAATTCGATAAAAGCCTCGCACAGTGCACAACAACGTGGACATTTGGGGATAAAACGAAAGTGAGATTTTTAGAGATTCAATGAGTGCTACATATACAACGATCAGTGATCTATTTAATGGTGAAAAAATTTTGGCTCTAGTGCCTAAGATCATCGAGAAAAGTAAGCTGCAATTTTTAGCTCGGTTTGTGTGGCCTTTAAAAAATATTGCTCTTTCTGTCAATAGAACGAACTTCGGTAAAAATGAAACACACATACTCTGAAAGCTGAGTTTCCAGGCTATCGATTAATAAAAATAGTTTTTAATTTTAGTTAGTTTTTGGTGGGAGAAAAAAGAGTTTTCCGGAGACTAAGCGTTTTTCGCAAAAGTAATTTTAGTAGAGTTGGGACCCTAAATTCCCCTGATGTCCACCGAAGCTGAAACTTTCAGGAAATATTCTTCTTTATATGATACGTCTGTGCACTTAGCCCAAAATTCCTCAAACGCTTCCCTGCAGAGGGAGAGGTTTTCCAAAAACCCTTGGTTTTCGAGGTAAAATCAAGTCCTCGCAGTTCAGATACGTCAGAACTAGCACTCCTAAAGTGATCAAAGTAGACTGCTGAGCACTACCATTTGATCTAAATGCGTACTGCTGGGCACTATGCAGTAAGCCAACTATTTATAGAAATATAGCTAGGCACCCGACCGAAGGTGCGGATGGAAGGGTCGAAAGTACGACGGGAAATTAGGTCCGGGCCGAATACTTTGGATCCCAAACAGAAAGTCCGGACCGAAATTTCAGTCTCCCACCCGTTTTTAGAGAATTGTTTAATGAATTTAATTGAAATGATTGTCAATTTAAAAATAATTAATAGTTGTACAAATATTAATCATTTACTATCAATATGTAGTCGTACTTGTTAAAACATATTAAACTTACAACAATATGGTGTGAATAGTCTTGAAAGCTTAAGATCAATTTGTAGTTTAATTCGGTGTATTGGTTCATCAATCATCGACAATGATAATGCATTAGTCGTTTTACAACAAACGTTCAATTACAATTTTGAATATATATTTCAGACACGTTTAACAACACATGAATTTATTGATTATCTTAAAATATTATTAAGTAAACATAATCATGATATCAATAATTCATCAATAATTGATCAAACTTGAAACTGAGTTTATGAAAAATTGGATGGCAATCAATACAGATCAATATTTGGACTTAATAACCATTCTTAATAGTGAAAAGAATGATTTATGGGTGTATTCAGCTAAATTATTAATATATATATATATATTTATTAAACTAGACTTAACTAAAATAATTAAGCAAACAAATGGTAATATTAAATTTTGTAATAACTATGTTCAGCTTCTACAACTGGATGAACATTTAAACATCTTAAATTTATCTTCCACAAAAATTGTACAGTTATTCTCGAATAGTATTTATGTTCAATTAATATTAAATGTAAACAAAGTTGATATGGAATAAATATTTATCGAAAAATATGATCATTTCAAAATGAATATAGAAGAATTGCAAAATGTGAAGCAATCATCATCATGTTTAAAATTTTCATGTTTAATATCATGGATAAAATATTATTTACATTTATATTCATTTATTCTCTATAATGATCGATTGAACAACAATAAAAGTATGATAAATCCATATAGACCTCGCCACCATCACATCGATTTAAAGTGCAGAAGACGAGAAACACATTTTCCGATCGAGTTTTGCAGCCTGATTCTAATGGTGAAAATAACAGCTCGCTATCGATCTAGAAAAAGAAGTTGCTCCATTTTATTTTTCAGCAAAAAAAAGGTTTTCAGAAAAGCCCGGTTTTCCAGCAATTCTAGCGGATTTGAGATACATTCAGAAATCTTTTCGAACCTACCAATCAATAGTCCATTCCATTCTAAATAAAATGAGATATCTCCGAAGTTTCTGGCACCTTCCAGTAAATAACGGTAAGGAAAATGCGGATCAACCTTCCGCATTTTCCTTATAGTTTACAGGCGGGAGTTTTTCAAGGCTGAAATTTTTGTGTCTGTTGCAAAAATTTGTTGATAAATCAAAAATAAGTTTATCTCCAATTGATCCAAAGGGTCAATCCATATGACTCCTATCACGTTATACAAACGTGACAGTGCAGAAAGTGAGACACACATTTTCTGATGTAGTTTTGCACACTCGAAGACTTATTTTTAAAGAAAACCCGTAAAATTCTGATCAAGCATAAATCCTTCAAAAGTTTCCAGAATGATGCCAAAGAGACAGGAGCACGGTCAACATTATTGATTTTCTCGAAAACCCCGTTCCGCCGATGCCAATCATTTCTAGTTTTAAATCAAGTACATATTTATGTACTTGGGAAATGTGTTTCTTCTTCTGCTTTGGTTGATTAAACCGAATTTGCTGCTAGTGCAAAATCTTCATCCTGTGAAAGATTTGGTTGATTTTAGAATTGTCGGCACTTTTCAAATCTTTTTTAACAAAATCAATCGTTTGGCTTATTAAAAAATTAAAATTTGATTGCTTTCGTGTGGACTTTTAGTCTGTTCTGACTAACGAGTTTTCTCATTTCTCCACACCGGCAGAAACATTTACACAGGAAACAGTGCTCAAAGATTCAAAGTTTGAAGCCCACTATTGAACGGCAAACAGTATCACCTGTTCTTTTGAGGAAACAGTAGCAACATTACCATTGGAACATATCTGGCAACCTGTTTTTGTTTTACTCGACTTGAGGATTTGGTAACAGTCACTGAAGTTGTGTGCATGGCTATTTTATTCATTGTGTTGATCCCGCAGAATCCGAAAAATGCTTTGTGGAAATTATGAGCTGAGAACTACATCATTTTGTGGCTAAATGTGTGCTCATCAAGATCTATCATGAGCTGAGCTTCAGTTATTTCCTTATATGGTCGTTGAGCCAAGTGTTCTATTTCTGAAGACTCTCGCCATGCCACTGAGTACGTTCAGCTCAGCTTGTATTTGTAGTGATGACATGACAGATTGTGTGGCTTTCCACAGTGTTCTTTTGAAATTCTGCGGGAACAACCAAATCAGTAGAATAGTAAAGCACTTACGTATTATATAATCTTTACATGAGCTTACAGTTGAGGGAACAAAGAGATTCCACTGAAGTTAAGTAGTACATGATTTCTTTTTAACTAACATTTTATTACAAAAGTAGTTGTATGCCGCACTTTGTTGTAAAACAAAATAAAACACTACGGTCTGTACATATTACAATTAATTTCCTACAAAACATCACATAAAATTTAACTATTTAAAATTAGCAAAGTTTACTTGTAAGTAATTAAATAGTCTGGATAAATTTGTTTATTGTTAAAGATAACAAATATCTGATGTCCATCTGTTACTGAATCATAACTCACGGGGCATTCTTTTGTTTTATATGTTCCCATACAACTTTCACCCAATAAAACACGACACACAAACATACATCGTTCACCGGCTGCATTAGGAACTGCATACTGGTCACTACAAGACGCATCGGACGAAAAATAAAAACCGCGACCGTAGGCCGCACCTACAATGCATAAGACACAAAAATTGATTAGTTTTAACGTCTGTACGGAAACGGCTTTTTATGCGTACGATACGATTCTATCGTGTGTTAACATATATCTTAGTGGTAAACCTTAAAATCGATTCTACTACTGGCAAGTTACCTAATTACACATTCTTTTTTCAATGTAACGCGATCAGTTAAGTTGCTGTTCCTATTATTTACTCATAATAGATCGAAAGTGCCTCGTTATTCTGATTCTAAACAAAAATGGAAGCTCAGCGTCTTGTTTTAAAAACTACATATCTAAATCGCCTGCTAGTAGTTAGAAAATAAAAGATTAGAATCTCTTATAACTGATAAAAACTCCTATTCTTGCACTGTGTATATTTGCGTTTCTATTTTAATGAAACCACTTGATAAAAGTAGCACTAACTGGAAAACAAAAGCTGATCTGTATTCTGGCGATAGTCCCGATTTTTTTAGCGGTATAAATCGGTACGAAATGAATGCTGCTACTCCACCAGTTTAGTGGAAACATGTCAGTGACCAACATCGCTAGTATCTGGTTAGTGCAAGACCAGTATCCTAAACCATGCGATAAACTAACAGATCAACAGCGCGAACACAATTTGGTATTGACTGTCTTTGTTAAAAATGTGTTTCAGGTATTTCAATACGAAGTAGAGCCCTGTAAGTCAAACCTAACCCAACATATAGATTAGGTTAGGTTTAGGTTACAAAATTTCTTATAGGTTCACGGTAAAAAAAGAAGCGTCCAACAAAGCGCCCACTAGAGAACATACAAGAAAAGTATACTAAAAAAAGCGTCGACAAAAATGACAAAAGCGTCGTCCAAGCATAGTATTTGATGTGTATACTGCATAGATGACTCATTTCACTGCGCTAGCTTATTTCAGAAACGACAGATTTCCTGCGATAGAGGATCGGTCCAGCAGATCAGACGTGCTTTCAAAGTATAGGGCGTTCAAAACTGAGTAAAATATTATTTGAAAATCCTTTCAAATTTTGTTTTTCCATCTAACAAAAAAAACATGAAAAAATTCGTCCAGAAAAAAACCGTCTAACAAAAAAGCATACCAAAATGTGATGAAAAAAACCGCCCGCCAAAACGCATCAACTTTTGGACGCTTTTTTTTAACCGTGTCATAGGACACGGTGGTCGTAGCGTATTTTTATCCTAAACGAATAAATGATTTTGAGTGGCACTGAAATACTTAGGAGCAATACAGTATGATTTTATCGGTTCAAATAGTTGATCAGTGGAACAGACGTATGATAGTTTATTTTTTACCCTTTTTCTCACTTTTCTTCTTTCGTTGCTTAAAATATCTCTGATAAAAGGAGGGATCGCATAAGGTAAGGCATAGGCCCACTCTCTTTATTCAGCAAAAATGATCTCGTATGTAGTGGAAAAGTATTCCTATTTGATTCCAGGTAAAATCGAATACTTTTGTTCCCGAAAATCACGTTAATTCCCCGACATTATCATCCCAGTCGGCACCCTTAAAACAGCGCAAAACCATAAGTAAAAGCTGCTTTTCTCAATTTTCGTACATATAAACAGCAAAACAAATATACTGTTGGATAGCCCTAGAAATTTTCTACAAACTGAGTGAGTCAGATAANGGAAAGCCACACAATCTGTCATGTCATCACTACAAATACAAGCTGAGTGAGTCAGATAATCTACATCGATCGGCCCGGTCATCAAGAAGATGCAAAAAGCGCGTTAGACTTACAGAAAACAGCTGAAGAACGCTCCTTTAGAAGTTTTTTCTGTCATAATGAAAAATTATATATTCAGCAGGATACGATCGGATAGTCCGTGAAATTTTCTAGAAACTGAGCTCGTCAGAATATCTAGACAGGTAGAATCAGTAATCAAAGATATGCAAAAGAAGCGTTTCGATGTGAGATATGCTGCACAGTGTATCATAATCATACGAACTCCTTTCTTTTTCATGTTTCAGTAAAAGCTGGAATCAGTCTGGATACTGTTTTAAATAGCTCGAAGATTTTTCTGTCAGATGAGATTCATATCGGCGTTTTATGAGAAAACTTGATAAATAGGGTTTCTGGAAAACCCGAAGGCTAGAAAACCAAGTCTTTGGTTTTGCGTCAGAAAATTTTTCAAATCATATAGCCTGATAGAACAAAGAATTTTGAGGAAAGTAAGACATCTCCCGACTGTTCATAACCCTTTTTCACCGGATTATTTTGGTGATTTTCGCCCCCTTTGCAGTCGTCCGCAAATCGACTGCAGTTGGTTAAAACGCGATTTTTGTATCGGGCCCCTCCTTTTGATTGATGTTCTCTAATTTAAGTTTAAATGAACTAGAGTAAAGTGTTTAATTGGAACCGAAACCAGATTTGTCTAACTTATAACTTTAGCATCTCAGTGAGGTTTCAATCGATTTTCGTGGAATATGGGGGCTTTTGCGGCTAAAAGTCTTGGCTGTTTAATGATCTAAAAATTATTCTGAAACTCCCATGTGAGACGGATCTCAGCGACATTTATTGCGGAGAGGGTCATTTTGGTCCCAATTAGATTCTGTGCCTAATGGAAACCGTATAGCGAAATGTGTGTCTAAGTGGAACCGTCCCGCTGAAATTACTCGAGTTTGCAACATTTTAGTAAAACCTATTTTCTACAATATTTCAGGATGTTGCAGGAAATATTTCGCTAACTGTTCTGTGCACAGTAAATCAACTTCGAGATTTTCCCGACCAGTTGGTAATAATGCAGTCCCTAAGTAATGAAAGTATATGTACTATGTATTAAAACGGTCGTTTTACAGTCGTTTTAAAACAGATGTAACTGTTACGTTTTTAAAGTGTTAAAACAGGTAAGTCACACCGACAAGCTTCTATCGATTATAAGATACCGATCGGAACCATCAGAAGCTGACTGTCAGGAAATAGCACGGGAGCAATTGGTAGACCGACAGTTTTGAGTCAATTACAAGAACAACAATTTGTCATGCTTATTAAAGCATGTCATAATTATGCTTGAATTATATTCTCCCGTCATCACAATCAACTACATACTATTCAGTGCAACCAGTTGGTGAGATTCAACAAAGATAATACAAATGTGAACATTCATATAATTCTAATTTAACTTATTATCATTGTTCCAAATGTACACGAATAGTATGTTATTCTTGTAGTTATAATGTTTCCACAATATCTGTTGGATCTCGGGTATGTGATTATTGTTATATGGATAACGTTTTACAAGAAGTTGACAAATTTTAGATCTGATTTATTGAAAGTGAATGATTTTAGTATCTTCTTTCTGTACAATGCTCACATTAAACTATGTAGCAGTAGATATGCTTTCATTACTCAGGGACTACATTATTACCAATTTCTCGAAAAAAAAAAAATCTCGAAATTGGCTTATTGTGTACAGAACAGTTAGTAAATTAATTCTGCGAAATATTTTCTACAATATTTCAATAACGTACCGTGTTTTCCGATAAGATTTGCATCGAAACATTGTTCAATGATAGTGTGAGCTGCTCCTTGGCTACAACCGTGATACAGACATTTCTCTGTCTCTTTAATTAATCGTCGATCAAATTCATTTTTAACAGTCATATATTTATCAAACCATAATAGATTTTGTATACGTTCAAGGCGAATTATTTTCAAATTATGACTACGTGTTCGCTTTGTGGAATATAATGAATAATAATTTGATGTCAATGTTTCATTGAATTTTCTTTCAACAGAAATATATTCAGTTGAATCTGGTGTAACTTGAAAGCGAAAATCAGCATTTGTTTCCGTCTGAGACCAATTATCGGGCATTTTACAAGTAAATTGCTTAAATTCTACAAAAAAAATCAACACAAACAAGTAAATCAATCGGATTGTTAACGTTCTCAAAGTGAGAGGTACAATATGTATTGAAGCAATTATTTAGGGAAAAAAATAGAATGAACCAATGTGAAATACATGCACTTCTATTCATATATAAGAAACATAATTCACAGTGTAAAATATTGAAACATTTTGAATTTCAATTTATTTACAACATTTGAATGCATGTTTGTTCATATAGTTTAAAAAACACTGGTAGATTGCCTAAAGTCCTAAATTTCCTCGGAATCCTGAGGGGGACTTCGGATATCCAAAAACACATGGTGAAATTTTGGAAAACTAAGTGGTAGAATCTAAAATTACTCTGATGTGTTTTATACCAAAAAAGCTGGAATCCAGCGGGGGACGGAAACCTTCCTTACTCGCCCACGTCCTTTTGCGAAAATGTTCGTATGCTACTAGTTTATCAGTAATAGAAGTACTACATTTGCTTCCAACAAACTCATAGTTTTTTGCATAATTTGGTTTTTTACTCAGTTAGCAATATATTTTTTCACACAACCAAACTACATTCAGAATCAGCTTATCAAATTGCATTAGATCATATGTTATCGCAGGAGATCTTGAACAAAAACAGATTTTGATAGATCTTTCTGTTCTTCTCTCGTGCTACAAAACTTTATGCACAAAAAATGGTTTAAAAAAAAAGAACTGAAAAAATACAAAAGATCTTGTATAGTACGTGGTTCCATACAGTTTGATGAGCTGCTTTCGAAACGATGTCAGTTATACGAGATATGTGATTGCATGCTGAGATGAAAAACGGTCAGAATTTTAAAAAATCTATATCTCACGAGGGAACGTCCCAACTGTCCAATCGCTTTCAAGCCGAAACCTAGTGGACTATAGGTAGTCGACCATGCTGATTCCAAATATCAACATGAGACGAGCTGATAAGTCTCCAGAGACCGCTTTCCTGAACAACAGTATTTAGTTCATTTCACAACCGCTTTGTAGTTACTAGAGACTCAGACAGAATTCATTTTTGAAAGAATCAAAAGAAGATACCATACACCATCTAAATTACTTTCTTCTTATTTCTGTAGCTTTGGGCTGACAATGAATGTTTAGGGCTTTTTTGTAAATTCTATAACTTTGCAAAGAAAGGTTGTAAAGAGCTGGAAGATATCTTATTTTAATCAGAAATATGCGGGCTATAATTTTGCCTCATTAAGAGAGGTTTTGGTTAGTTCCGCGTTTCTGAAAAACTGGTTGTGCATAAAACCGGTCTCTTGAGGCCAGTAGCTGATGATGATTAGAGTAACTCTTCAAACTTTCTACGTTGGTTGGTTTCAAATAAAAATGTTTGTTGCTGATGTAGGATATATACTCTCAATAATGAGGCATAGTATCCATAGATGAACATAGAAAAATCTCATATTCGAGTTTTCGTTAAATGTCCACCCGAATGCACTCTTATACCCCTTGAAGATTTGCGCATGTGGAAGGAGCATATATTTATATCGCACATGCGATCCGGGTACGATTCGAGGACTGCAATTATCGATACAAAAAGGCTGATTCGTGCAACAAATCTGATGTCTTGTCGGCTTTCGAAAGACACTGCGTAAGGAAAAGTGCATTATAAAGGAGATGGGATACAGAACAATAAAGCAATCCGCCACTCTGTGATGGACCGTTCGAGGAAATGAAAAAACTGCAAATCAATGGCAACGATACTTGAACTTGGGAGTTCCACGGTTATTTAAGTACCTACCGAATGATTGATCTTCAGAGGCTCGATCATTGAGCATATTTTTACAACAATCGTCGTAAAGAAACCTCTTTAAAAAAACAAAAATAAAGTATAATTAATTTTATGAGGTTTGAGATATGTTTTTATAAATTTCTTACAGTGTCAACGCGAACTTCATATCGTTCTTCAAATGATTCTCGCGCTTGTACAAGTATTGTCAAAACTTCTTCTTCGGATGAACTTCCTTGAATAATATCTAGTATTTGTACTTGTCCATATTGAAATGTCAAACATAACAATAATGGATAGTGATCTAATGTCATTGATTGAATTTTCTGAGAAATTAATAATCCAAAATGAGTTTCAAATAAAGTAATTGATCTAAAATTATATTCGGTTTTTACTATTCATGTTATTCAAAACGGAATTAACATATATATTTACTCTTCATAGTTTGTATTGGTTGCTAAATCACATGCCCAAAATATACAATAATTTGCTAAATAATTAAGAATTAATTCTGAGCACAAGATCTGAGAACAAAATACTTTTGAACGACCACTTGTATCATTGTGTAAATAAATTACTAATGGACAAGGCTAAATGAAAATAGATAAGATTTAGAAGAAAATAGATTCTTATGTTCAAACACTTGCTGCACTTTACATTGATTTAGAGCTATTTAGAGACTCACATTATTTGTTGAATATAATGAATTAGCTAAGGCTGTATCTAATGTTCCTAGGAAAAGATTAGCTCCCAAAGAAGAATATCGTTCATAAAATAAACTTAAATAATTTTCAAGTCCATTTGTATCATCCAGATCCTCATCAAGAGCTGAAACAAATAAAAAAAGACTCATAGATGACAAGATACTGTGCAGTTGCAAACAACAGGTGATAGTGCTGAGCCAGGCAGTTTTCTGTCAAAAGACAAATCAAAGACCACAAATATTTCCCTCTCTCCCTACCATGATGCTCATTTTCCAAAGTTAAACTGATTTTCTGAGCACTTTCATCATCATTATCCAGTAAGGTATTATCGTTAGTACTATCATTTGTTTGTTGATCACAATCGTTTTTCTCAACGGCTAAAAGACAAAAACAATGACAGTTATCAAGTAATACTAGCAAAACATGTATGTTTCTTGCAAAGCTTTTCTTTACGAACTACTGTACATAGATGATGCTGTTCAATTAACTGTTAGGAAATCATAAGTATCTAAAGACTAATTCTCGTATGCTTTTTTTTGTAAAAGTTGAATTGCCGTCAGTAAAGCGCTCAAACTTCAAACCGTAACAAGTATGATAAAGAGCGATCAAATTCTTATGCTTGCTATTCAAACGTTGAATTGAATTTACAGATACTTGATACGGTTTACCAGAAAGATCACTAGCCAATTGCTTTTCTTTTAATAAAATAGATAATGTGTTAAAGACCAAATTGTCGATTAGTTCACGACTAGGTATGAAACTGTCACAACTGTATCTAGGGAATGCTATGAGAACTGTAAAAGTGGAGAAAAATTTGTCTGGTGTTTTGATTTCGGTTTATAATAGATTCTTAAGAGTCAGTTTTGATAGTTTTGGACAGGTTAGCCCGTAACCTTCCTAGATTTGATTTGCGAATAGGTCTTTCTGTTACACATATTATTAATAAAACAAAAACGCAAAGGATGGGCTTCGTTGGACCTTTCCTTAAAAAGTTATTGCCAAAATAAACTGTCGGTCTCTAAAGTAGCGCTATGCGACTGTGACTATATTAGAATGTTTCAGCTCTTCATTTAGAAGCATCAGTAAGAGCATCGCTCCGACAAAAAAACTGAAATTTTTCTGCGTGCAGCAACAGTAGGAATCTAAGTATATGGTAATAATCTCCAATATTTCGACGGTTAATCTTTTTTAGTTAGTAATCATTTTTATAAAGTGGTAAATTCTCTTATATCCTTCGTTCCGACGATGCTGAAATGTGGAAAAGTGACCTTGTTAACAATATGATTTATCAGCTGCCGTTCGAATGCTATTTACCGCAAGTTCTGGAGAGCATGTTTGACCGCTCCTTTATCAAATAACATTTGCAAATAGTTTCGATTTTTATTAGTAATATTGCATTTGAAATACAGGACTTCATTATATTCACATAAAAGAACACATCAATATGCATCGACAATCCTTTTTTAGCAAACCAAGCCTCCATGTGTTCTCTGAATGCTTGAGGAATTCTTTTCATTGTCGAATCAGATAATACAGACATATTTTACTATTCACAGACATATTACTTTTCCCCATCTTATTCTAATGCAAATAATGCTACTCAACAGGGTAGAAAGCCCCATGACTATAGTGGCTAATAAACATATCAAAATAAGTATTCTGATAAAAAAATCATGGAATATATTTACTAACGAATAATATTCATAGTGCTGGAAAATACTTTGCAGTTTCACTCGTCTGAATCAATTTTCATTCAACAATTTTGCTTTCACTGTACTGAAGATTCGCAGATCTGTTATTTATTCTTTATAAAAATGATTATTAACTAAAAAGGTTATAATAACCGTCGAAAAGTTCGTGTGTTCGATCCTAGCTTCGTGCAAGGATTGATTGTGTGTTTTGATAGTTTAAGTTTCAGAATGATATAATGGGAATTTATATTCTCGATTTCGTTCTGGTTCAAGATTAAAGCTTAAACCAACCGTCGAAAAGGTAGCCAAACAGTCATTGAAAAACATTAGAAGCTGTTTCTTCTAAGCATTTTAAAGTTGCCGTTACTTCTGAAAACGGTTTTAATAGAGTGAATATTGGAGATTATTACCATATACTTCGCTTCCTACTGTTGCTGCACGCAGAAAAACTTCAGTCTTTTTGTTGGAGCGATGCTCTTACTGATGCTTCTGAATGAAGAACTGAAACATTCTGATATAGTCACAGTCGGATAGCGCTCTCTTCTTTATCGATCCATATGAAAAGATCATTTAATGCGCATATGGCTGTTGAAAAGTAAAAATTTTTCGGATGGGTTCTATCTGCGAGCCCGAAAGAGACCGATAGTTTATTTTGGCAATAATTTTTTAAGGAAAGGTGCAACGAAGCCCATCCTTTGCGTTTTTTTTATTAGTAATATGTGTAACACAAAGACCTATTCGCAAATCAAATCTCAAAAAGATACGGACTAACCTGTCCAAAAGTACCAAAAACTTGAAGGAAGAAGGAAGGAAGAATACCCTACCTTGCGGCTACCGTTACCAGTGCAGGGTGGATGTTTCAATAGTCTGATATCTTCCCTACAATTAAAATGGTCACCCATCCGTGAGGCTAGCCTGACGCATAGTACTAGGGCTCAATTACTTGAGCTCCGCATGCATACGCCACTAACGAAAAACTGACTCTTAATATCTAAGAGCAAACGTAGAAAGGCTGCACAATACACATTCTTAATACACAATACTCAATGTAAACGAACACATTCGTAATTGTTCAAGAGGGGCTTACTACCATACTCCCCCTGTGCAAAACGCCTGTAAAGTGTGCCACCAAAAAGATTCTCAGCTTTGTTTTTTGCTCTTACTAAAACTGAAATTGAGTAACTGATAGTCATCATTTATATTAGTGCATCTGAGTCTTTAATAAAGTGAAACATGTTTTGAAAATAACTTAGTTTCTTTGTCGATTCTAATTTCAATATTTTAACATACTAGGTAAATCTGTTTTTCACGAAAGTTTATATATATACTGTTACAAACCGAGGCCAAAATATGAAAAAAGATTTTCTCCGGTTTACAGTTCTCCCAGTTTCGACCTTACAGTTTTTAGCAGTTAGTTACAGTTGTAATTATCCCACAAAAATGTCACTAGTGTATACATTATAGTTACGACCTCTGCTCTATTGGACTCAAACTGATTTGAAGCTATGGATATACCTGCAATAAGGGTACTATACAAGATTTCAAGCTTCATTGATAATAGGCATGTAACATGAGAAAGTTATCAACTTTTACAGTATGTAGGACCGGACGGATTTTGATAAATCTAAGTACTTACGGGTTTTGAGCGATGCTCTTTTCGATGGCGAACTCGAAATAATTTGAAAAGTGTCGGAAGTAGGGTTTCACATCGCCGTTTTTCACAACACATTTACAGAAAATAATTCTTTTTAAAGAAACACTGGTCTGTAAAAATATTTTCAATTAGCGGTTTTATTCAGAATTGAGTGGACTACATTTTAAAAAAAGGTCAGAGTCTCCAGCTTATAATCTGAAATTTTATTTAAATTTTAAAATTTGAAATGTTAACTTGTTTTAAAACTGCACTCACTCCCTGCGTTCACAAGCTAGCTGGAACATTGTCAAGGAAAACGAGAAAATTGAGGTAAATTAAAGATTACTCCTTATCTAACCATTTCTGGCACTTCTAATACAGATACTCGTGATCCGCGTGGTCGATTACATATTAGCGAGAAGGTGTAAAAAAAGTCAAAACTGAAAAGTTTTCCAGAAATCCTGGACGGGCACATCAGACCTCAAAAACCTGGCCGAGAGATTTCGAGAAATTAAGTGCCTGGGAATGTACCTGAGCATCTCCTGAGATAGTTCCAATGCAAAAAAACTCGAAAATGTTTTGGGTCAGGAAAGGGTCTGATCCGCCCTCGTCCTTTTAGTATGTGGGTTTTTGAAAAACCTTTAAAAAAGCGTTTTTATCCAAGGTCTGGAACTCACCACCTGCCCAGGTATGTTTAGCTTTTTGAGCTGTAGCTCAGCTGTTTAGCTTTATCCAACCATATCCTTGAAAATGTTCCACTTAGCTTGTGAACGCAGGGGTGAATGCAGTTTAAAAAAAAGTTGTAATTGAAAATATTTTAATTTAAAAATAATTATTTTCTGTAAATGTGCGTGTGAAAAACGGCGATGTGAAACCCTACTTTCGACATTTTTCAAATTATTTCGAGTTCGCCATCGAAAAGAGCATCGCTCAAAACCCGTAAGTACTGAGATTTATCAAAAGCCGTTTGACGGATCTTGAGATAGCATTTCCATGTTATACATTATTAGTTTGGACACTATAGTGTCACCAATGCGAAAGCGATTTATTTAATTTATTATTTAAGAATACCCAGTTTTAATCAGTGTGAAAAACTGAATTGAACAATGAATTATTGAGTCTTCTAGAACACCAATTTTATCTCGTCGAAAGTTATCAATTGTGAATTTGAGATAAAAAAGAGGAGCAAATGGTATTCCACGAGAAGATCTTTGATCGACAGGATCTGCTTTGAGAATCTTTTTGCTTGCATAATTCAATAAAGTTAAAAACAAAGATGAAAAGTCTTACTTAAAAGTTCATCTGATAAATCGCTCAGTCCATCACATTCTATCTCTTTATCATTCTAGAAGTATTCGAAACTGGAATCAAATATTTGTATAGGCACAAATGCTGTCTAAATATTTCTTACCTCTAGATGTTCGAAACAGTCGAAGAAAATTGATTTGTAGCTATCAGTCATTTTAAAGTATTTTCAATACAGACAAACCTTTAGTTATGCCGTCGAAATCAACAATAACTGGCTAATTTATTATAAACTTTTCCCCTTATATTATCTGATGTCAATCAATGGTTTTTTTCTTTTACTCAAAAAGCAAGTGCCGAGACACATGTCGTTACTCATGGCTTTAAATGTGTCATGAATAAATATACAGAACGAACTATGCTGTGGGGAAAATATATTTACCCAACAACATACTGCGTATAATCATTCACAAATGTAAAGAAAAATCATTCGTTCTGTTTATCTCTTGACACCTGTCAAAGGTGAGCATATATCACAAAAATACTTTTCTTCATATTGGATATAGGACGCCAGCCCATGCGCAGGTCTCGAAAATCTGAATCGACAGCTCGATTCAGAATATTTTTCTCTTAATATACTGAATAAATCAGCTCCGATTTTGCTACTTTCTTTCATAGAGCGCTCGAGTCTACGTATAACTATTTTATTCGTTTTGTATGTCAACCAATAGAAATTCAAGATGGTCGACATGCCTACCCTAGTGAAACTTCTTGTAACATAACCAAGATCTTAACTTTTTGAATTTTTTCGGTAAAATCTTGGTAGAAAATATAAGAATTCAAGATATTTCAAGAAGTCAAGATCTTGAACATCTTGTAATTGCTATGGACACATGTGAAACAGTGAGCATTTTCCTTCCCCGAAGTGTCCAATGTCTTCCAGAAATGATGACAAAAAAATGTCGAATATACACTTCCTTATCATCCTTCTGTGTTGACCAACGTTGACGAGCGAAAACATTACACACTGATTCTTTTTCTACACACTGAGTCGTTTGAATACTGAAACAATCACGTATGAATTTTTGAATAAAATCATGTTAGC